GTGGATAGAAAAGCCTATGGGAGCATAGCAAGGCTTCCCATCTTAAGAAGCAGCACACTGCAGCTTCCTGAGCTGGAAAGCCCGCACGGACTATTTCCTTCTCTCCTTGGTGTGCCAAGGATCAGGATGCTCTCAGATGCAGAAAGCATTCCCTTCACAGACAAGATTAGCATCTTACTGGGTACCACTTTGCTATAGATCTGACGCTTCCCACATTATTTTCCACACTCAGTCATTTTAGTCCTTTCAATAGCCCTGAGCTGGGCCTTTTTCTGAATTTACATTTTTTTTTTGAAAGAAACGTAAGCCTTGTTCAATTGGTCCTCAAAGCTGGTGTCGTGGACATCATCACCTCTCATGCCAATCAACAGCTCATCTGCACCTTTGTCTTGGCAAAATGGGAAACTCCAGAGCCAGGGAATTTCACCAAAACCACAGCGTATCTAAGTGAATGTTCTGGGGTATCTAAGACTCAGCATTGTGTCATGGAGTATTTGAGTTTACATTCTCTGGAAATTATATTCTCTTATACTCCCAGAATTAGGATTCCTATGTTCTGGCCTCAAATACATTCATAGCCCCCCAAAAGGCAAGTGTTGATTGGGAAACAGTCCATATCCCTACAAGCCAACCTGATCTGGGTGAAATTCTTTTTTTGGCGTGACTCTACTTGTGACAAATTGACAACCAAAAGTAAGAATCATATACACTTAAAGATCGTTCAGAATTATAAGAGATTTTCATCAACTATTTCCAAATAACAGATGGATGGTGAGTTTTCTTCAGCTTATAGTTCTAAATTTGACCCTAATCAATTAGCCGATTCCCTCTGAGATTGGTGTGAGTTTTTGAAAGGTCAAAACTAACCTCCAGTGAAAAACACAAACAGCACATACTATGTATTGATTATACCCTATATTATGACAGACATGGAGAGAAACACAAGGACACAGACGTGTCCAGTCCCTAAGCAGCTCCCATAGCACAGAGAGGCAGTTGTGTCTACAAGGCAACTCCAAAGGGTATCTGTCTGTATAGCCATTTAATCAAAGATATTTAAACACAGAAACGTCAAGAACAGGCATCTGAACAACAATGGAGTCCAAAGATCTCTTTCTAACTCCCTCCGCTAAGTAATAATCAAATGACCATTTACCACATGATTTGAAATTGCAGAATCCCCTGATCGGCCTTCAGAATTAATGCTCAAGATAATGAATGCCCAGCACCTTTAATTACTGAAAGGACTTACTTTCGGAAAGAGCAGCTATACAAACTCAGAGAGTGAGGAGGAATATTAATGAGGTAGATCTTGAGATGTCCTAGGATCCAGACTCCATCTTCAGGCAAGACATCTATTTTATAAAGCCTTCTGGGAGAGAGGCAGGCACCCTTCTTCATCAGCAGTTCTGGCTACCTTCAGATAGATCTGCAGTGCTCGCTCTTAAAATATGACCTTCCTTCATGGCCCCTAGGATCACTCATGGCAGTGCGACAAGAAAACAGTCTGTGTTTACCTTCTATCTGGGGAGCCTGTGAGATGGCAGGGCAGGCTGACCCTGCAACTGGAAGGATGGAAGAGGGTGGGGACCAAAGTCAGGGTGAAGGACCATCATGTTTTCAGGAGCTGGTCTGGAGATGAATGCCTAGGGCAGGTGATAGTAACTGGACCTTAACGTTGGGTAATAACATTTGTTTATGACACTTAGCCATTTAATTTCACTGCTTAATACTGTCTGACTTCCACAGCGCTTTGGAGTCGTTCATCTTGTATTTATTATATTTATTTGCCACATTGCTGTGGGGCAATGGTTTGTACCCTGTCAATTGTATGTTAATAAAATGCTGATTGGCCAGCAACCAGGCAGGAAGTATAGGCGGGACAACCAGGCAGGAAGTAGAGGCAGGGAAACAAGAATAGGAGAATTCTGGGAAGAGGAAAGCTTGATCCACAGTCATGACCCAGCCACAGAAGAAGTAAGATGTGACTGCTTCTCTGAATAAGGTGCTGAGCCACGTAGCTAGCATAGACAAGAATAATGGGCTAATTTAAGTTATAAGAGTTAATAAAAAGCCTGAGCTAATGGGCCAATCAGTTTATAACTAATGTAGACCTCTGATGATTTCTTTGGGACTTAACAATTGCAGGAACCAGGCAGGACAGAAACATCGACAACACCAGATGGACAATGAAATGCAGAAATTTGGGATTATGAAATGCTGGAACGGGAATAGTGGTTACTATTCTAGTCTACCTCTGATGAGCAGCAGTCATGATATAAGCAGAAGTGTATGTTCCCAAGGCCTTGCACACAATCTTTCACACAACTTCCCTAACAACCCAGTGAGGTAGTTATTTTCTAACCTCAGCCCCTTCCTAATAGAAGGTAAAACTGGGGTTCAGAAAGATAACTGAGCAATGCCCCTCTGATCTCACAGGTGAAATGATGAAATGAAATTTCAGCCCAGTCATTTGAGACAAACCTGGGTCTTTATGTTTATTCAGATTTTAGAGAATAACCACAGTTTATTTCAGAAGAATTCTAGACCCTGACAAAGTTTCACCTACGTCTTCCTGGCACACGTTGCAATGTGCCTGGACAGTATCAGGCCCCACAGCTCACCTAGAGTGCTGCTCTAACTGTGAAAGCAGAGGAAGGAGGCTTACAAGCATCTGGCTAGCCTTGGCTACATAATCAGACTCTGTCTCAAAAGCAAGAAAAAAATAAACAAACAAAAAATACCCTCCCCACCTCAGCCCTTTCTCTCCGTGTCTGAGACTCTGATACCTCTGTTCTGAGTTGATTTTCCCTTCCTCCCCAAGAGTCCCAGCATCCCCCTTCCTTCTTCGTATATTAAGACTCTAATAAGTTCACAGTGTTTTTCTCCTCCAACAGAATGAACCCAAAGCAATTAACTGTGAACCGGACAGTGGTGTTCTCACCCTAAACAAGACCCTAACAGGAAAAAGAGAGGTCATTGGTATCTTGCCAAAGTGTTTTCCTACCCATAATTCCTTAAGATTTGTAGAAGTCGAGTCTCTTCCCTGATCTTCATGCCAGATGAGGCAGAAAAACTAAACACATGCCTAAGTAACAAAGAAGTTAGAAGAAGTCTCTTTGCTCTGCAACCCATGGCTAAGAGATCGGCACAACAAGTGCTCAAGGAGGGTCTGCTATGGGCTACTGTATAAATCCCTGGATTAAATCAGTGGCATGGCAAGGAGAGAGGGGAGGAGAAAGAAAAAGGGAAGGAGAGGGAGGGATGGAGAGAAAGAGAGGGAGAGAGGAGAGAGAGCTACTATGACCAAGGTTTTATATTTAGTTATATAAGTCTCACAAGAAGGTTCTTTTGCCTTTAATAAATTATTCCTGAGTACCCACAAGGCACTAGGTCCTGCCTCAAGCCCTAAAAACAATAGCAGAAAAGATCCCACTGCTTTCGTGAAGCTGAGGAAAGAGAGACGACAGCCTACAGACAAGGAGATAAGCAGTTTGCCGTATGGTAAAGTGGACATAGCAAGTTCATGGAGACAGCAAGTCAAGATGATGGGAATGGTTAGCATGGAGGATGGGAGGAGAGATTCTACTTTATATAGAGTGATACCCTGAATCCAGACAGAGACTGTAAGTTCATGGAGGCAGCGAGTCAAGATGATGGGAATGTGAGCATGGAGGATGGGAGGAGACATTCTACTTTATATAGAGTGATACCCTGAATCCAGACAGAGACTGTAAGTTCATGGAGGCAGCGAGTCAAGATGATGGGAATGTGAGCATGGAGGATGGAAGGAGACATTCTACTTTATATGGAGTGATACCCTGAATCCAGGCAGAGACTGAAGAGGAGAGACGTCCCAGGCAGAACAAGAGTGGCGCAGAAGCTCCAAGGCAGCCACAGCCAGCCTTCCCTCCAACAACAGAAAGCCACTGCGGTGGGAGTAAGATGGGAGGGGAAGTATTCCGAGAAGATGAAGGCAGTGCGGAAGGCTAGATCCCATTTGGCCTTGTAGCTCTCACAAGGAGTTAGTCTTAACTTGGAGCACCCTAAATTCAGGTATTTGGATGAAGAAACATAACCTGACTCATATCCCAAGTATTAGCTCTATGAGGCCCGCAGGGACCTGGCATTCCCCTGCTGCTTGCTCCATGCATCCAAACTCACCATTTTCCAGAGCCAACCTAACCTGGTTACCCAATATTGTCCAGCCATAGAGCAAAGCAGGGAAAAAAGAATTTCTATTTATAGCTTGGAAAATCTGGACTCTTGATTATAAAGATGAGAACTATAACAATATCCAACTGTGACTTTATTGTACATTAGTAGTGTCTAGATATATCCAATCGTGGGCTCCCCTTGCAACTGCATCCGCAACCTTGTTTGCCCTTCATTTATCATTAGCTCTCTTTTACATAGTCATTATGGAGGGACCCATCTTCTGTTTACAGCCTTCCCCTACTAAACTTTATGACTTATTTATGGCTACTCACTCATTAGCCAAGATGTTCATCTAAACTGCCCAGTTTCTAGAGCAGTCTTTGGGATGCTAACCTGAAGCATTTTGAAGTCAACAGGTAGAAAAAGCTTATAAATCAGCACAAGAACTCAAGGGGATCTTCAAAAATATCTGTCAGCTAGAGACGGTCATCGGCATTTTCCTGTTCTTCTCAACAAGAAGTGGGTCCATTTCTTCTTTAGTAGGTCTGGGTCAGACTGACCCCTGCTCTGATTGCTTGGCAGTGTGGCGTGACGAGGTCCATCTGTCTCCAGTGTCTAGTTCTCTTTCTTTTTTTTTCAAAGTCTTATAACAAATGAACACAAGGTGTAAATTGGGTTACTGAATACTGAAAGGCATTGGAGAGGGATTCTCTGAGAACAAAATGTCTCTCTGACCACCCAACTTAATCCAGCCACCTGAGTGGCCTTGGCTATACCAGGCGGACAGGAGAATCATACAGCAGATCCAAGCCAGCCCACGAGATTGTGAGAAAGCACATCATTGTAGCTGTAGAGCGCTGTGTTTGGGAGGCTGGTTACCTAGCAACAGGAAAGAATGCCATCCTTGGTGTGGGTGCTCACAGGAGAAATGGGGGAACAGAGGAGGAAAAGAAGGGCTGGTTGACTTAGCAAACGCACTGGAAGTGGCCTCTTAGTTACTAGTATTTTCTTTCACACATCACAAAGCCAACGCTCTCTAGCTGTGATCCTCAGAGCAGAGCTCAATGAAGGAATTATCTGGTAAACTTTGCTAAAATTAAGGTTTCATAACCGTCCCCTTATCAGTTTGGACACAGTAGGTCTGAGATTGGGTCTAGAAACCTGTCCTCTTGCAACTCGCTGAGCCATTCAGATGAGCATCCATGTTTCAGAATTTTTACCCATGAGTTGCTTGAAGACAGGAAGTAGCTTGGTTTCTGGCACACATGGGAATGAAATTCATATTCAGCAGATCAATAAATAGTGATCAAATGAAGTATTCAATTAATTACTTGAAAAAAAAGAACAAGGCCATTTACAGCCATTGTGGTATCATAAACTCTGCTCTATCTGAGAAGGCTTCACACCCACTTGCACCCACTGTGTCCATGGCAACGCTGTCACACGTGCCTCTTCCTTCCCTCTTCTTGGTTGTGTTCGTAGGAATCCTATGGAGGCAGAAGGAACACGGAGACGATGTCAGCAAAGGGACTGCAGGTATGCAAAATAAAAACACAGTGGCTTTGACACCACCTGTGAGCTATTTGCCTCTCTAAATCAGCCCTGAAAACTAAAAACTGAAGTCCCATTTTCTCTCCTTCCTCGGGAAGATGTTTAAATTCAAGGGCAGGGAGAGTTCAGGGATCCTGGAGAGGAAACTCAGTGGATGGGCTTCAAGACACGAATTTTAAAAACCTAGAAACCTGAAAGATTCCCTCTCCTCCTCGGGCTCTCAATTGTCCCCTGAATACAAAATACTAAAAAGAAAGTAAAGATCCTGAGAAACTATCCCAGAGCCTTTCCTCAGCTGACTCATTCAGATCCACACCTACTTAGAATACGGTGCGGCTTTGTTCCCCGCCTGCTGTCCTCATCAGATGACACAGCACGCTCTTTCCGCTCTTTCTGTACAAGGAGCAAACACGCCCTGAGGAGCCACGCTAAAAAGCAGCGAGAAGGAAGCCAAAGGACCAGGTTGAAGTGCATTTTATCGGAAATTTTAAATGCTGAACTCAAAAGGTAACTGCAGGTGACCATTTTTGGAAAGCCTCTAGAATTAAAGAAATCTGCTCAAGGACAACAATAAGTTTCAAAATCTGCGTGCGATGACATGAGTCACACAAGCTCATGGTGGAAAAGGAGGACCTAAGGGTTGATAAAGAGGAAAAACCTTCATAAACTCACCATCTAAGGGTAACACTTCCAACATTTTAGGAAGGACACCTCTGGATTATTATATGCACTGCCCTGTGCATATCTTCCTTTCTCTGTGAGAAAATCTGAACCAGTTTCCCACAGGTTAATGTAGATGCACATGTTTGCCAGTAATGATCAAACAGTAGTTGAAATTTCTTCTTCCTTCTTCTTCTTCTTCTTTGTCTTTGTCTTCGTCTTCTTTTCTTTTCTTTTTCATTTTTATTTGTTTATTTTTTTGAGACAGGATTTCACTGGGTAACCATGGCTGTCCTAGAACTTACTCTGTAAACCAGGTCAGCCTCAAACTCAGAGATCCACCTGCCTCTGCCTCCTAGGAGCCGGGATTAAAGACGTGTGCCACCACATCCAACTCAAAAATACCTTCTTCTTTAAGAGATAAAACCTTGTCATTACTCCAGATACACATGCACATACATGCACACATATGTCCATATGCACAGACAGGCATGTGCACAAACATGCTTACACATACATGCATACACGCACACACAAACATTCAAACATATATATGTGAGTACATATATGCACATGCAAACATATAAACACATATACATACACTTTTCTTAAGATAACCTTTTTTATTAGTAGCATATCTGGGACAAAACTTTTAATAAAATATTGATAAGCCTTTTAAAAATTCTTTCAAAAATTTGAACTCAGTTTTCTCACTAGCTGTGGTAAAGTAGCTACTTCCCTGAGTTTTTGTCATGCTAGTTTACTTTTCTCTCTTAATATTTGCTTGCAAGGAGCTGGAGAGATGGCTCAGTGGTTAGGAGCCCGTGTTGCCCTTGAAGACCCAGGTTTAGTTCCCAGCACCATCAGGGTGGCTCATAACTATTTGTAGCTCGAGTTCAGGGAATCTGATGCTCTCGTCTGGCACTAGGCACACATGTAGAGGACATACACACATGTAAACAAAATATTCATACCCATAACTGGAAATGAATCAGTCTTTCCTGTGAACGCTCTTTGCTGGGATGTCGCTGTCATTTATGTTCGTTTATAACGTAACCCGTTCTAAACTGGTTCAGAGCTGCACTTTCTGTCGTCCTTGTTTAACTTGACTTGAGATAACGTGAGTACCTGCTAGGCCTGTCTAGTCCTTGGTCTGCCCCTGTGCGAAACAGAGAGCATAATAACACATTAAAGCCAAGCCCAGTTGTGCAACCCCAACTACCTGGGAGGCTATTGCAAGAGAATCGTCAGTTCAAGGCTAGCCTGGGCAAATTAAGGAGCACCTGTCTCAAAATAAAAGTAAAAAGAAAAAGAAGAGGAGATGGTTAGGAAGATAGCTCTTCCAGTAACCTGCTTGCTCCACAAGCAGAAGGAGCAGAATGTGAACCCTAGAACCCACGTAAAAATCCAAGAATACTGTGGTGCACCTATAATACTGATCCTGGTGAAGTACAGACAGGTACATGATGGCCAGCCTAGCCTAACTGGCAACTCCAGATCATAGTGAGAAACCCTGTCTCCACAAGGCACACAGGTCCTAAAGAATGACAACCTGAAATGACTTTGATCTGTATACACACACACACACACACACACACACACACACAAACACACACACACACACACACACACACACACACGCACACTGATTCTGTAAAGGTTCTCTAAAGGAACATAACTTATAGAATAAATAGATGTTTTAAAGGGGGATGTATTAGACTGGATTACAAGATGTGGTCCAGGCAGTCCAGCAACGACTGTCTCAGACTGGAGGGGCCGAGAATCCAGTGGCTGTTTTAATTGTTTTGTTTTGTTTTTCCACTAGTCTGGGTGTCTTAGCAGGCCCAGTCTGGCAGCAGAGACCTGGGGATTCCTGCAGAACTGCTGGCCATTAGTCTTTGCTGGAATATACTGCAGGAGGTGAGTAAGGGTGCACACTCTGCGGGGAATGGAGAAACCGGTTCCTCCGGTGAGACAGACCCTTCAGAAGTTAAGAGTTCAACGTCCTCAGCCTCATCCAGGCCCTCCTATCACACATCTCCACCCCGAGCTACAGAATTCCACTAGGCACTTACCAGCGCCTTTACTTTGATTGCTAGCACCCTCCCAGGCAGGGATTTGACTTTCTGCCACAGATTAGTTAATGTTATAATGAAGACTTGGCTTTGATATTCAGCACCTTGCATTCTGTGGCTACTGAAGAGAAGATTCTCTTCCAGGCCACACTTCGAACAACCTGTGGCTTGTGATCCCACAGAGGTGGCATAGCAGATATTCTGCATATCAGATATTTATGCTATAATTCATAACAGTAGCAAAATTACAGTTATGAAGTAGCAATGAAATAATTTCACAGTTGGGGGTCACCACAACATGAGGACTGTATTAAAGTGTTACAACATTAGGAAGGCTGAGTACCACTTCTTTACTGTTTATGCAAATCTGGGGCCGGTTAATTTTATTACTGAGCTCATGATTTTTCTTTATTGGTTCATCCAGAGAGACTAGAAGCAACCAGACAGAATCCTTGTTTGTTTGTTTGTTTGTTCATTTTTCCATAAATTGTTAAATGCTTTTTATTAAGAGTCCTAAATTTCATGCTCCACCTAAGAGTAAATTGGGAGTATCAGATCCATTTATCTTCCGAAGCCCGTCAAAGGTTTTATAATGCGGTTTTCAGTGTTCCTCATGCTACGAGGGGAGTAGCTGTAGATTTTTTTGAGTTGAAGAGACAGATCCAGATACCACCAAGTTCACCATAAAAATTAATGCTTACTATTCTTTGTCAGGTCCCAAAGGAAACTCTATTTCCGCAAATATCTAGAAATGGGCTCAACCTGAAATGTAGGAAGATTCCTGACAGTTCCTCGGGAACTTGTAAAGTCAGTTCCCCTCTACCAACAGGAGTCATTTCCCCTCTCACTGACAGAAGGGACAAATGGCTGTCCATTGTGGCTATTAGTATACCAAAGCCCATGCTGGCCTCCTGACTCCCTCGGTATCACAAGTACCTGTTAGACATTTCAAAGTCCATGCTAGCATCCTGCCCCTTCTCACCTCCTCCCCTACCCTAAATTCCCTCAGTTCCCTGGTTTCTCTCCCCAACTGCTCATTCTCTTTACACCCCTGCTTTATTTGATGTCCTCCTCCTCTCTGTTTCCCTGCTTCCCCCACTCCTTTCTGTTCCTGCTTCTCTCCCGCCATGTTCAGTCTGCTGGCCATATTCAATCTACTTCTTTCTCCCTCTGTTCTGGACTCTTCCAGATGTCTCTGCTTTTTTCTCTCTTGTATCTACAATTTAAAAAAAAAAAAACCCTTCCCCTTTACCATGCAGAGGTCATGCCATCAGTTTAGGTTTCTGCTTCTCCAGAACGACTCCTGTATTAGCTCCTTTTCCATTGCTATGATAAAACACTATGACCAAGGCAACTTAGAGAAGGAAGGGGTTACTTTGGCAACCATCTCCAGAGAGATACAAGTCCCTCGTGACATCAAGCAGCAGGTATGACTTCAGTAGCAAAGCACTCAGAAAATACACCTTAAACACGAGCCACAAAGCAGAGAGAGCAAACTTGGAAGGAGGCTGGGGCTGTGACTCCCAAGGCCCATCCTCAGTGATGTACTTCCTCCAGCAAGGCTGGGCCACCTCCCAAACAGTGCCACCCACCAGAGAACAAGTGGTCAAATGTCTGAGCCTAGGGGGACATTTCTCATTCCAATCACCACACTATACCTGCAAGCACATGCATAAACACACACAAACACATACACACACGCGTGCACATACACGCAAATATAAAATGAGAAAGAGAGAGAGAAATTTGGGGATATAAGCTTCATAGCTTATAGGTGCTTACCTACCATGTGTGAAGCCCAGGATTCAATCTGCAGTATGGCTAATACTACTACTGCTACTACTACTACTACTAATAATAATAATAATAATAATAATAATAAATACATGCTTTTAGGATTAGATATAATTCCTATCAAGTCCTAAGAACACTGTCTTGCTATATAATAAGCTTCTTATCAATGTAAGGTTTGTGAATTACTGTAGGTTTCCTGCCATTCTGACATGCTAACGTCATTTCGGAGCTAATTTTTCTGTCTTAGCCCTCACACTCAGAAAGTCTATTTCCTCCTTTGTTATTACATGCTTCCGTATTATTAGGCTTTCATTTTTACATTTAAAATTTTAATTCAAAAGTTTAAGTTGAGAGCTAAGGAGTTTACTTTCATTTTGGACCCAATATTGTTTCTACCATACCGAGATGTGGCATGCCTTAGGAATCAGACAATGGTTCTTGTCGAGTCCAAAGGAAACGCTATTTCCCCAAATTCATAAAGGTGGAAGGGACAAATGGCTGTCTGTGGAGTCTGTCAATATGCAAAATGCATGCTGGTCTCCAGGCTCCCTCGGTATCGCAAGCACCCAGTGGATATTTCAAGCTAGCCTCCTAGCCCCTCTTACCTCCTCTCAAGGCTCCCCAGAACTTGCCCAGCTTGTGGACTTACTTCCCATCAGCTACTCCTTATAATCCTGCTATTTTGGATACACTCTGTGTGTGTGTCCCTCCTCCCCACCTCCCTGCTTTCCCGTGCTCTCCCTTTCCCTATGTTCCTCTCTCTCTGCCCTGCTCCTGCTTCTCTCGTGCCCAGGTCCAGTCTGTTGGCCACGTTCAGGCTTCCTCTCAGCCTTCACTGCTTTCTTCCTCTACTCTGGACTGTTGCAGATGCCTCAGCCATTCTCTCTCTCTCTCTCTCTCTCTCTCTCTCTCTCTCTCTCTCTGTCTCTCATAGCTACAATAAAAACATTCTCCTTAACTGTACCATGGAGGGTCATC